GGGAAGACACTCAGGACGTCCCTACACTGCTCCGGTGTCCTGGCTACCAAGAGACTATCCAATTTCAAATTTTAAATGCAAGGTAAACTTTTCCCTTTAAAAATTCCCAGGCTTCCTTAAAGATTAAAGGATCACTCTAAATAATTTTAGCACAGTGCTTTATCTGATGTCCTATGTACAATTAAGTGCTCATTTATAAAAAACTACTGGTGTTCAAGCTGGACAAAAGTACCAGAGTTACAGTTTCACCTCCGTCAGAACATCATGTTTGCCTTCCCATGAAGGCATAAGCCAAGAATTATATAGATAAAATATATAAACACAAGAAGAGAGCTGAATTACAGTGACTGCTGATATGTAAACACATGTAATTTGGGCAAAAGGAACTGTCCAAGATTAGAATAAGGAAATGCAATATCTCTGTAAGAACAGCAAAAAGGAAATACTTAAGCAACATATCTATGCAGGCATCCAGTTGGTTTATCAAGGAAAAGATGCTTTCTCTAGCAAAACAGCTGTTCCTTATCCAGTCCTGAGGCATTACTAATGAACTTTACAACAAATATCCTTTCTTTGAAATGTGAAAATTTCATCACTATCATTTCTTTGATACCCTCCAAGTGCTCGTTAGAAGGAAGGCGAGTCAGAAATTCGAGCACGTTCTGCCCAGAGAACTGCACCAGGTGCAGCCAAGGTCGGGGCCAGGAAGGCTGCGCAAACCCGCACAAGGGGCCGGCCTGTCACCTCCTGCGAGCAGGGCAGCGCTCCCAGAAAGTTAGATTAAAAGGGAGAGGTTTTGTGAGTTCCAGTGTCCTCCCTACAGCCTGCGGACCCCAACTCATCCCTCCTGCCTCCTGGAGCACGTGGACATCCTCGGTTATGGCACTAAGCACACACGCACCCCACGTGTGCGCACGCAGCGCGGCTTCACCTTCACCCCGCAGCCAAGGGCCAGCTTCGGAGCAGGAGCTTTCTTTTTCTCCTTGGACGTAGGATTCCCTGCTTTGCCTCTGCATTAGGATAACTCGCTAGGAATGCTCCTTCGTTTTACAGAGGACCACCTGAATTCTTCTCTAGCTTTCATAGTATTTCTTTCCTTTCTGCATTGTCCCAATTTGTTCTAAAACTCGCTTTGATTAACACCCATGAGTGATCTCTTCATGATGCCATGGGATTCAAGTTGAGTTGTGCAATGCAGGCATGCAATTCACACACACACCCCAGCTATTACAGAACTTGGCTCACACAGAAGTTATTATGCAGCTCTTCCTATGCAGCTTCTTCCAAATGCATCACTGAATGCCAACAGAAGAGCGT